ATGATTGGATGATAACTGTTTTGCATCAATAGGGAGTTCAAAGCTATTTACTTATATTTCCCTTAATAAAACCTGACCTGACCTGATTCTAAAAGCACGACACGAACAGACAGCTGGATAAGAAAGAATGTTTAAAAACTCGTTATTTAGGCAAATTCGTTTAAGGAATATCTTATTATGAAGGTTTTGGTAAGCATGGAGAATGAAATCCTAAGTTATGGCAAACCGACTGAAGCCAGTGATAATCTTGAAGTGTTAATCACCATTTCAAGAAAGATCTGAACCTTATCGTAACCAAAATCCCAAAATAATTACAAAGAAATCCGACGGAAGGAAATTTCTCTAAGTGAACAAAAAATGGTATGTTGACGATTGCGCCTGATAATTCCATTTAAATTTATTAGCAACTGACCGGCATTTCTGCAAGTGAGCTTACGAAATATCTTACTCCCAATCGTAGTCTGAGTCCAACTGTACTCGAGCAATGTATAAACGGAAGAAACAACTAGCAATTGTTGTGAAACCGTGTTGGAATATATACTCTAACTTTTGGCTGTTCGATAACAGCCATATCTTACAGTGCACGTAATACGGAAGCATATGTATCCGAAATTTTACAAAAAAGATTATTTTCCAACGTAATTCTACATGTGCTGCTTTATTCACTCGGCTTTTGTGCATGAACTCTACATTTCAACTTAAGTTTACCTAGTATGCTACATCTTCATTTTTTTAATTTTGAAGAACGATTATTACTTTATGGCTGTAAGACTTTGGTGGCCGCAGCTTGCGCTGATTTTGCATAACAGGGAGTTTCTGCGAAAAATCCTTGGATTTCATAATTTAGAACACCTACTGTAGTTAAATGTGCCCCACACCACCAAACCTCCTGGGCCGCATTCTTATTGTTACGTGTTGGTTGAACTTAAAAACTTTTCAAGGCATAGACTAAGGTTTAGGGCAATTGATTATCATTAGGGTAAATAGTTAGTCTGTCCAAGTAATAGGGTTGGGCAAAAAGAAAAGAGCATTGTTGGCATTCACGATGCCTTTCACAAACTCTGTTATGAGACTCGCTCACGTGCTTTGCAGTTTAATTAATATTATCGTCCTTCCGGTTTTGCAGAAGCGCCTGTGTCCTATCTTAACAGTAGACTTATCGCAGGGCGTTAAGTAAGTTGAACCCTCGCAACTGCAATCTTCAGGCCATAGTTCCTTAGGAGAGTAGAATTCGGTGGAGGCCATAGTTTTAGGAATAGTCTATTTTGTATATAGAGGAACGGAAAATAAAAGGAAGAAGCTTGACCTCGGAGCGCAAGTCATTCCGCTGGAGCGGCGTGGTCCGAAGTGCGACTTAGTAGCAGGAATCCCAGCGGCCAGAGATAGAGCGTTCACGCGTGTAGGCCTGCTATTCGTTGCCGGGCCAGGGACCAGCTTTGCGGCATCTGTGATTGGCTGTTCCCAACAATCGAGAACAGCAGTCGTGAGATTTGGGCGGAGTTCACTTCGACGGGAGCTAGTCGCGACAGACTTGCATATTTAATTCTGGCTCAAGCTTTGAAGATGAGCAGCGTACCGCGCCCCACAGTACTGACAGTGAGCGAGGGGTAAGGTGACAATTATTTTACTCTGGAGTTGGTCAAACGCGGTTTTCAAGCTCCACGCATCTTGCCCGCATCTGCACCAGTCTTCCTTGTCTCTTTAGATACCAAACTCTGCTTGCCCTTCTTGGACTTCCTGCTCTCCTATTCTGAATCATCATTGACAGAAGCGGCGCGTCTGTCGTAAGTGGTTGTGATGTGGTCAAATGCGTGTCCAGTGTAGTTTCGCGTCTGACCCTGAATTGTTTGCACTCTGTTCAGAGGGCTCGGCAGAGTTTAGCAAGGACTAAATGAGGGTTGATTGAAGTTTCGCCCGTACCCCAGGACGCTGGCTTCTTATTCATTCCACCGACTAAGAATTTAGACCTCCCAGAAGGCGAACACCTGACCAGAATTTTGACATTGGACGCCGATCCAATAGTTTAGTCCACTACGTGTGATGAAAGTTCAGCAGACTAGAGCCCGCATGCCGTTTACAATATGTATTACCAGCACGCAAGAAGGCAATTACAGTTAATTGTCGTTGTGTGTTTGCAGTAATGACTGTATCCTAAAAATACTGCGAACTCCTGTGCATAGGCTACCCTATCTGCTTCTGCTTTCAGATTATGTTTCTGATGATGAATCCGCGTCAAAAAGTCGAAGCTTCAGGGGAATAAAATTATTGTCCCAGCGATCGAGTCGGCTTCTGCTCAGAAGATTATTTGTTTTCTCAAAATCGCCGCTGATATTCTGCCACTCTGCTGTGCTTTTTTTACCTTAGAACTGAGCCTATAAGTAAACAAATATACATACTGAAAGTGCTCCAGTATGCATGGAAAAGTGAATTATTTCATTTTCAGCAGAGGATTATCCCTAAATTTTAGGGAAATCAAAAAATGGTCAGCATTTCCCATTTTGATCTTGACTTTATCTTCTTAAAAGGTTAAGGACTCAGATATTCGACGCCGAAATATGTAATAAAGGCACTTTTTCACGAGGTAACCTGTTATAGAAAGTGACTAAATTAATCTTAGGAATATTTATTCGTGACTTCTGTTGTGGACGTTCATTTTTCTTGGCAATGAGTTCATATGTTTGGCTGATTCTAAAACCCAACAGACAGCTGCATAAAAAGGAATGTTTAATAACTCGTTATTTAGGCAAATGCGTTTAAGGAATATCTTATTTTGAAGGTTTTGGTAAGCACGGAGAATGTCATCCTAATTCATGACCAATCGACTGAAGCCAGTGAAAATCGTGAAGCATTTATCATCATTCCAAGAATCATCTGAACCTCTTCCTTACCGAAATCCAAACAAATTACAAAGAAATGCGATGGAATAAAATTTATCTTAGTGTACTAAAAACGGTACCTTGACGATTGCACCTGACAATTCCATTTAAATTTATTAGTCACTGACCGGCATCTCGGCACGTGAGTTTAAGAAGCATCTTACTCCTTTGACCTCCCAATAGGCAAAATCGAGCGAAAATGTGGTTTTCGTAGTCCATCGTAACTCAAGCAATGTATAAACGGAAGAAACAACTAGCAATTATCATGAAACCTTTTTGGAATACATACTCGTACTTTGGGCTGTTCGATAGCAGCCATACATTACATTTCACCTAATACTGAAGCATATGTATTCGAAAATTTTACAAAACGATTATTTTCCAACGTAATTCTACATGTGCTTCATTATTCATTTGGGTTTTTTTTTTGGATGAACAGGCATTCTATAAATTTAAGACTAAGGTTTACCTAGTACGCCTAATTTTCCCTTATTCAGAATTTTTCGATTTTCTAAAGAATATGGTATTTTTAAACAACGTAATATTACTTGATAAATCACAATATGCCCTATTTTGAAGAACGACCATTACTTTATTGATGGTAGACTTTTGTGGCCGCAGCTTGAGCTGATTTTTCGTAACAGGGATTTTCTGATGAAAATCCTTGGATTTCACGAATTAGACCACCTACTGTCGTTTCATGTGCTTCAGCCCCACCAAGCTGTGTGGGCTCTATTCTTTTTAATCAATCTACTTTTAGAACGATCCACAATAAGGGACTTGGGTCCAGGTTTAACGAATAAGTTAGCTTTATCACCTCATGCAGACCGAATTTCCGAATTTTCGCATAAATTTCTTCTATCGGGAACTGCAGTTAAAACTTTGGCGCATTATTTTCTTCCTGCGACAGGTATGTGACAGGTTGGCCGTAATTTTTTATGTTAAGCGTGTAGGCCACAGCAGGGTAGTCGTAACGGGTCCGTGACTTGCGCCGATATGTTAGCTTCTGTTTACAGCAGGCTTACTGCATACCCTCTTTCCTCACCTTAGTGGGCCCCGTGTCATGATAATGTCAAGACCATAGGTGGTTTCGGACGCAGGTGGCTGGTGCCGCGTGAGCCTGCGTCTGGGCCCGTCACTGCAGCCCTCGTGAGTTGTGGTTGCGTATTCGAACGAAGGCCTGTCAGTGCATCTAACGCCTGGCCGGCCTCCAATTAGCACATTGTGGTCAAGGAGGCATCCAATCTCTGATTGGCTGCGGTACACTCGCGGACCTGTCAGCTCAGTGCATGAAATTGATTGGTTAGTGGAGAACCTATCCTAGCTCCCCCACGAATCAGTACTTGAGTGAGCCCTCTAATGGCATTTCAATCCTTCTAAGGTGGTTACGTGGTGCTCCTAGTTCTACCTAGTCTAGAGAGGCCATTGGCCAGCTTTTCAATATACAGCGACAGACCTTTTGCAAAACTTCAAAGGTATGAATCCCACTTACTAATTTTCCTGGTTATTTTTTACTGCGCATATTTACATTAACGACAAGTTTGTCTGTAGTCAGTTACTAGTCGTTTTCACATGTAGATTTTATGCATGGCAGTAAAGGCGAAATTGTAATTGGCTTTTGAAGGAAAAGGGTGTTGCTGACTTAGAGGTATCCGACGCATATAACGGGATTGTGTTGATACTGTCAGTCCATAGAGTTTATCGTAAGGAAAGCCTGCTGCAGATGCTGGGTCTTAGGGCTTGTCAGTTAAAGTCATATGCATTTCCTTCTCGACACAAGGTAACCCCGGTACTTCAGTAGTATGCACATGTTATCCCCAACGCTGCCGGCGGTCACTTTTAATATCCCTCCAAAACTGAGACTGACCTCTGCCTTAGACTGCCTTTTAAATGTGAACCAACCTCGTTTTCTCACCTTAAGACGGCTGCGTGATGAGTGCGCAAACTGTAGGCCTTATTTACAATTCTCCGGTCTA